TGAGTGAGTGACTGACTCTACTGTGACCCTGTTGGTGCCTAATCAGCGACGACCCAGCGCACTTAGCACCTTGCTTTGTGGACCACGTGGAACGCGTACTTGTCGTAAGTGAGTTGATTGTCCCCTTGTAGTAGGTTTTTTCCAAGCTTGTGTACGTCTGAGCGCCATTTTGATGACGAATTTACAATCGCCTTTTGTGAGGGTAATCACTGATTGCTTTATCTTATCACAGTTGTTCAACGAATTGTCTAGGTATGCTTGAACGGGCACAGCATTATCGCGCTTTTTCCTTATACGTGGATTTTTTAATCAATTTTTACCTTCATCAAATTATTACAGGAAATAATGCAATCGGTATTGGCAGCTGTTGGCGCAGTGTATTTTTTGTTGGTGGCAAATTTCTACAATGAATCGCATGGTTTCCAGAAGTTCTACAATAGGTTGTATCCAGTATGGTGAGTTAGCCTTTCCTTTCAGAATTGGTCAATTGTGGCCAAACTGGCCAAGTGAGTTACGGAAGAGCGCTATCGCAAGATACGGGGGCGATGCAGTTGAGACCGCGAAACAGCCCTTTTTGTTAAAAGAGAACTGAGCCATAGGCAGCGAAGCAGAGACGTTAGGGTGCGTGAGCAACCTTCTTTTCCCCAAGTTTCCTGCCCCTTCTAAGCTGAGTCCTAGAGGATGCCCCCGTATCTTGCGATAGCGCCCACAGAAATTCTTCAGTAGCTATAAACAAAGTGTTGCCATTTCCAGGAAGGTAATGCCGATAGTGTTCCTCACAATATTCGCAGCTGTTCATGGTGGAGGACTATCGAAGAGGAACCGCTTCATGTGCGCGATGGCGCTATTCTTTGGTGGAATCGGTGACGTCCTGATTGGCTTGAGTGACGAGGGAATCGTCACCGGCGCGATCGCGTTCGCAATTGGACACCTCTTTTACATGGTAAGCATTTACTGTACACGCTAATCTTGTCGGAAGCGGGAAAAGGCCTCGTTGTGCGGGGAGCCCACACAGTCAAGCCCCTTCCCTTAGTCCCCCATCCGCTAGGACTGAGCTTCAGGGAGTACTATGAGGGAGAGGGGTGTTAGAGATTTTCCCAAAGATCCTCCCTCTCTAGGCTTAGTCCTCACCCCCCCCCCCCTCACCAACCCCTCACCCCCTCCGACGAGACATAAGCTCCTCTTGGTTTTCAGTAATAGGCGCTTTCCTGCGCCTTGTTTAGGGATGTATTCGCAATGCATAACAATTTGAGGGTAATTTTTGTTAAAAGTAAAGGATGGCTGGAAGAGAGCCTGGTAGGCTTGCCTTACGCGCATAATCCCGAGCCATTAATCGATTTTACCCGTTCAGGCTGACCCGATCTGTACGCAATTGTCTGGGTAAACCTCAGATAGCTTCTGGCCTGGTAAAGGGGGGTGCAGCGTGCTGTTTCGACGCAAACCTGCACAGGCCGAGTCTGCGGTAATGCAATGCAGTTGGATTGTCGGGTGCTAACGTAGCTAGGGGGGGGGGTGCGCGGCGAGGCAACTAATAGTGTTCGAATTCCGAGGAAGTGTTTCCTTTTTATAACATGCTTAGTACCCTTGCACGGTACAATGTTTCACACGGCCCCCTCACGGCTTCATTTCGCTGGAGAGAATTTGATTATGTTGGCTGGATACTATGCGCGCGTGCTACCGCACCCACCCTCCCCCACAGTACACCTCCGCCAATAGTTTGGTTCTATCCTCAGTCTGTGCGTGGAGGGAAGATACGTCGTCAGATTCCGTAATTCGAGTGGCGGGTCTGTCGAAGCGGAGCTCAACTTTGGATGTGTAGAGGGTTTTGTATAATGGATCCCGTGGAAAAAAAATCCAGGTACAGAGGTTGCAGGCGTTCTACCGAATGATTTCTTTTTGTAGGTTTGCGGCTAGAGAGACATTTGTGGTAATGTCGACCGATTTCACTGTTCCCCTTCGAGTCAAATATGGGTGGCAGTAAGGCCAATGCTCAGTAATTTTTGACCTTTGTACTTAGTATTTCCTCGTGCTGAATTATTTGTTCTATGAACGCGTTTTAAATCTATTTACACAGAGCGAACACGAGTCACGAGTTTCTTAGTTGTTGTTGTTCCATAGAAAACCGTTTTTGAAGAGCTCACTGAAAAGAATAAACATCAAATATACCGTAACTGAAGCATTAATTGTAAAGCGTCTTGGAAAGTAAAAGAAGAAGAGATGGTAAATGTACCATCGGCTAAGCTAATCGTAAGATGAAATGATGTAGAAATAGAATACAGCATTGTACGTCCTAACACAGTACTCACACGATGCGAGCGGTCCGCTACTCTGCTTCCCTTGCGCATGATGGGCCTCCTGTCGGGTACCCTAAGGAACGTTAACCCTGACCCTGTTCGTGTTGACAGCAATGCATTTTTCGCCCATAAGTTTGGAAAGGCAACAGCACGTGGTCTGAAAGATGTGCTGTTGCTGTGAAGTAAGGGACGCCTAACCTGGACCAATCAAGGTTTTCCTGGTGCGACTCTTCTCTTTTCCTCTGATGTAGACTGATCTTATCAGGCATATGGCAGGGTGTTCTGAGTAGTACATCAATCGGTTTTGGAATATAACCAGATAACAGCGCTTGCTTTTGGAAGCCGAATGCTAGTGTCCTCGAAGAAATGTTGTTCTTATGTTGCAAAGTTTTTATAGCTCTAAAAGCGCAAATATAGGCCTACACAGTTCCTAGGAAATCATTGAAATAGAAGTGTTACGCCACGTTCGATCGCGCAAAACTTACTGATATCAGCAAAGGTGGTAGTTCCGCTTGCAGGAACTTACCGTTAGATATCAGTGACTGCGGACGCCTCCCGTTCTGTGATAGATTTCTGCTAACTAGTTCGATTGCTAGGTGGGTCGTTACTTCACATAAGAACTAAGATGTGAACAATTCTGTCGAATTATAGATAAAAGGGCGGAAAAGTGGCCGTAGTCTCGAAAACACATTCCACGCTGTGTCGGGAAGCCTCATCATTTTAAGCGTCAGGTGAAAGAGAGCGGGCCATAAGGCCGATGTCAGACTTTGCGAATCGCGCGATTCGCTAGCGTCTGCGGTCGCGTCGCGGCCAGTGAATCACTCAATTGGCTGGTACCGCAACGCGACCGCGGACGCTAGCGAATCGCGCGATTCGCAAAGTCTGACATCGGCCTAAGAGGGTTGGTGATGCATCAGTCTCCGCCCATACGATCAAAATTGGATAATCTTTAAGGGTTTCTAGCAGCAGAGTTTCATTTCTCTTTTTCATTATTGACCGACCTAATTGCTGATACTACACATTCATTTCCTCGGAATTCTGCACCTAAGCAATTTTGAGATGTGCCTCCTACACCACGTGGCTACAGTGATAGTGATTTCGAATAGTGCTTCTTTTTATGGCAATAATTCGTATTTTGAAGAGTTTCTCATCGTAATTTGCTTGCAGACATTATATAGCCTACGAAGATCTTCTGGCCATTGCTGATTGGTACCTTTGCCTGGGGTGCAGTTCTTGGTCACTTTTGCGTTTTCCCAATGCTGAACGAACATCCATTCGAAGTACTCATATTGTCGACGTATTCATTGATACTGTCATCCTGCCTTGCAATTACTGGATCACACATATGTTATGAGCAACGAGCGATGATGAAATAGTATTTTGTGGTTTTATTGGCTTTCTGCGGCTTTATTGTGCAGCTGCAGCTGAATCTGAAACTCCAGCTACGAAGTACCGCAGGAATTTGGGATAAACCTAGCTCATGCGCACCTGTAGCTAATTTTATATGAGTTACCGATTGCTCTGGTTTATGGGCGTAGCCCTTGACACGGATGGGAAATGTGACCTTTTGTACAGCTTTTAGGTCATAGTTGTTTGTAATTTGAAGGCACACCCCAGAGTAAGGTTGGTGTGTAAGAGCGCTCACAGTGATTATGGCGGGTTAGGAGTGGGCTGAAGCGAGAAATTATTTCAAAAGAAATCATCGAAATTTACAGGCCTAAACTTTCTGTGAGGTCGACCATGGTACGACGAAATAGTCGGCGCGCAAATCAGAGAGAATAGGGAAAGAGAACGCCGTGCGAGAGAGCACAGACAGACGCACGGCCGCTGTATAGCGAGGATAGAGGGCCATTCAATACTTAAAGGCACGGGTCCTAGCGATTAGGCACGCTCAGGCTACCGTACCTGTTCCATACCCGAGGTAGTAGACAGGCGGACAAGCGTTGATGTCGCGCCCCTTTTGCGGCTTGAAAGTGCGCGACAAAGGCGCTAGAAGCTCGCTCGACCCGCAATCCACACCTTCGTCCGCAAGCCCCGCCTTCCGCTGTCGGTTGCCACGTGACGCTGCTTGAAAAGCGCGGGCGCAGTTGCGGCAGCGGTTGCATTGCGGTTCAATGTCATTGGCACTGGAGCAACTGGAGCTAGGTTCGTGAAACTCGTCCAACACGCCCTTCTCTATCCCAAGGTGGAATGCGGCTGAAATAGGGGAGGTCTCTGTCGGGGCGTAATCGGTGGTTTCGTCTTGCTTTCTTCTCTTTTCCAGACCACCCCACCTCTAGCTTCATTAGAGAACGCTCTTCCACACCTACTATTTTATCCCGAAGCTTGCCTCTAGTCGGAAGCATTTGCAAGCCTTAGCGCCCCTACAGCCCACGTTCGAGCCGTGTGAACTGTGCACTGATAGCCTTTACAGACAGGGGTTCTACCTCCGAAGGGAGTTTTTAATGGTCCATTCCCGTGGCTTGGCTTTATCCTGGAGCGTGCTTTTATCGCGATACTTTGGTGACCGCGAATTCGATATTTTCTTTTTTTACCACTTTCCAATCGTTTTCAAGGAGAAATAGATACTTCATCATGGGCTCACTCCTTCACAAAATGAACGTAGGTAGGAGTGACAAATGGCGCCGCCACCTCAGTTGAAGACAAAATTTGAGATCGTAACTTGCTCGAGCTCATCACACCAAGACGTGCATCCTCGCGAAGTAAATTGCCGTCGCGCAATCGGAGAAGACAACATACACTAGGCCGTTCTACACGCATATTTCAATGCTAACACGATCCTGGATAAAGAAGAATGCGTGGCGCATCCCAAAATGGCACCAGTCAACGTTGAATATTTTTTTTATTCTTTATTCGCAGAAAGGGAGCGATATAATCGAGAAAGCGTAGATATCAAAATTATTCAATCCAAGGGTGATTTTTAGCGAGCTAAAGGCTCTTCAATCCAAGGACCATCCGTTGGGAAAATTTCAACTAGGGATGGTCGTTATGGCTTTTGGGCGGGGGTCGTGTCTTTCGTCTCGACCACTTTCTGAGCGATAAAGTTGTACTGTTCCCAAGACAGTGCAACGCCTTAATCGACCCGCTTCTGTCTTCTTATTCTTTAGCGTCTGTCCCGCTTGTAGGCGGGGTCCGCTTTTCTTATATGTTGACGCCACTTTTCCCGATTAAATGCTTGATCGGGGTGGATGTTAACCGATAGCTTAGTTGCCCCCGATGCCATCCTTGCGACATCACCAAGTCGAACGTTGGAATATTGGCAGAAATTTGACAACGTTAGCCATGAGTACGCATTTGACTGTCTTCAGGACTATTAATAAAGTCGAATGCATGGCGTATCTTGGGGAATAAAAGCCGAGAGCTGTAGCCTAAGATTATGTCAGTATTTTCAGGGTCTCTTACTTCGATACATGGGCTTCATGATGTTCTTCATATCGGATTCGGTACTGGTAATGGCTCATACAGGGTTCAGGCTACCATGGCCAGAAACGGTCGTCCTGGCTACATATTACACTGCACAATATCTCATCTTATACGGCAATATCCATACTGGTCTCCACTCAAAAGCAAAACTTCTTTAACATGATTTACACTAACTGACTTAACATACTCGACACAGTCGCAACGACCAAGTCGCGGCGACTCATGTTCACCCTCTTGCAATCGCTTGACCACCGTAGTCCCGACTAGATTAAAAGATGGCACAAAGACAATTGGAAAAGATAATTCATCGGACTTGGTTGATTTTCTTCTCGAAAAGTTCCACGAATCGTCGTTTGGAAAGGAAATTTGGTAGCTAATGCTGCTGATGTGTGATGATTTGATATGATTGTGACATTGCTTGTGATATCCTTCGGATGTGAATGTATATATGGATGAATCAATGAATAAACGAGTGATTTTAGCAGTACTTGACAGCTATAAAATGTGGCTCACGTTTACGATTGTGATACGGTCCTTTCTAGTTTCAAAGGCAAGGTCTAGTCAAACCTTAAAGGCAGTGGTCGCGATGGCTGGTGGGCGGTCCGGTTTTGATGACATCATTGAGCGTCATTGGTGGAAAGAGTGTCAACAGCCGCTTTTAGGTATCCAGCGCTGTGGTCTTCAGGGTTCTTTCAACGTGAGGCCGGAGTGCACACTATCACAGCATCTCCTCTTTCTTTATCTTCTTCAGAAGGCTTAGTCCCAATGAGACACAAAGCGTGGGCTTTTCCAGCTACGCTCTCACCCTTTGGTTGACAGAAGCCTTGTAACCTAGCGGCAATTAGAGTTTGAACGACCAATAACGTTCAGTGACGTCATCGAAACCGCACCGCCCTCCGGCCATCGAGATCTCTACCTTTAACATGTGGAAATTCCACTCCAACTAATGTGAACGAATTAGCACGCTGGATGAGCAGTCCCACATTTCAATGAGGACGTGTTCAGGAAAGAAAAGTGTTTTCTTCCCCCCCACCTCTCCCCCATGGTATCATAAGCGATGTTGCATGTCTCTGAGGACGGGAAGACATGGAGCATTTTTTTGGTTGTGATATATACACAGGAAGATCGATATGGTCAAACCGTGTCCGGCAGTGTTGGCGCTGTTCTCAAGGGTGGTATGATCGTAGTATGACTGTGGTGAAAAGGTGAAGTAAGGGGGTCGTATTTTTGGAAGCTGAAGGGGTCGTGGCGGTAAGCAGAGGGGGTGGCGTTTGGGGAAGGTTTTGTAATTTCGGGCTTCACACAAGAAGTAAGAAAAATTAGAGGGTTTTTCGTCTCTTTAGACGTTCTCTCTCCTCCCCCCCCCGCTTCCTCTCCCCGCTTGACGGTGCTGTTGAAGGAAAAAGTGCGGAGTTGGGCCGTGTCGACTGGTCTCGGAATCAAATACTACAGAATCAACAGAAACAACCATGATGGTGAGATGAGGGTGGTGGTTGGTGGTGGGGAAGGGGTCGTATTGGGGGCCTCTCGTGACTGATTGTGGTAGTGAGGGGTCACATCAAGACCCTCTTAAAGGATGGGGTCGTAAAATTTTTGAAATCTGCGTAACGAACGGTTCACCTTGGACACTGGTCGCTGGCACCTTTTGGAAAAAAAATTGAAGATTAACGGAGCTAGAATGGTTTTGTCCTCTATTTTAGCCCTCCACTTTTCCGCGCTCGAGCGCAGCCATGTTCCAGTGGCGCCAACCATATCACAACTGGGTCCCCAGTTTACCATGCGGTTCCTGCCCTTCACAATAGCTGTGTAAGGTGTTGGTTCGAATTGTCATTCATGGTACGAAGTCCAAATAGGGTTGTTATCTTGGTGACCGAATGATAGGCGGCTTAAGCATTCAATCCACCCGAATTATGTCTTACATTGTGATTTTTTGTGTGAAAAATTCTCAAACACTTCAAGCTGTCGAGAGATGTCAAATGATTCCTCCTTTCGCATCACTCATTTATTAGCTCCAATCAATATGCATTCATTTCACAGCTACTAGCAGAGTTCACCTGTACTCCTCTGTCGTCCAACTGTCATACATGAACTATGATTACCTTCCAGGTATTTTTGACAGGACAGCAATCATATTGTAGTATTACTCCCCACATATTCACTCAACTTTTACTTAATCTACTTGTTTATCACATAAACAGTTATTCTGTAGCACGTTTTCGAGTCCGTTCCCGCGGAAGGATGTTCCGTAATTACAGACTCGCAAGCACATGGCGATGCTCCGAGAAAGCGACAAGTGTGCTTTCAAATGCTCTTGATGCTATGTGGTGCTGCGCGTTCAATTTAACCTCACTACCGCTTTTCTGGAGCTGACCTTTGCTCCAGGGAACCTGAAGCGCATCGAGTACGGACAACACAGCACAAGTGACGACGGCCTTCACAGAATGAGTTTGTGTTTTATCTGGCAATGAATAGGAAGCGCTGGTGTAGTTGTTATACTTTCAGTTGCTCACTAATTATCATTACTCATTCCCACTATCAATCGTAGCAGTATGATCCGGTTGACGGACTACTTGAACTCAGCCCTTTACCGCCTCTGCGCTCTCTAGCGGGTCCCTCTCCTCTCCAAGGCTTAGTCCTAGGGCATTCTCTAATCGTCTGTGCTCTAGCCATCGCGGCAGGACCATTGAGGAAAAATCAAGTCCGTAACCATGAATCACAGGAGCAAGTAGAGTTAGGTTCGTCGTCACTTGTGGTGTGTGTTTCTGAGCCAATGATAGTGGTAGATTGGTGCGAGACAAGGAATGAGCCAGAAATGTAGCCACTTCAGGAGCAGGGAGGGGGTGGGCAAAGGGAGTCATTGGCATGTAAGGTCAATGCTCGAATATGGAACTAGCGTCTTCTCGCCAAGTAAAAAATCTTCAAAGGATCGTATTGAGAAAGTTCAAAATAGCTTCACTAGAAAACTATTCCTCCGCGCTTTGGGATTCACTTACCACAGTATCCCTCGTAGCATTATAAGAAATAAAATGCTTCGTCTTGAGTCCCTTCAAATCAGGCGGGAGAAAAATGACCTAATAATGGTTTACAAGATTCTCCATGGCATGGTTGACTTGAAAGTTAGTGATTTCTTCGAGTTCAGTATTTCTTCTACTAGGGGCGAAACGCTCAAAATCTTTCTTCCGAGGCCAAACTACTCCGTAAGACGTAACTTCTTCACCTTTCGGGCTGGTTCTGAGTATACCAAAATGACCAAAAAAGTAAGGGTGCCTGGATCTCTAGCTGGATTCAAGAGACAGCTCAACCTCTATCTGTGTCCTGTGTAATATAATTTTCTTATGTTTTGTTTTGATTTTATTGTCGGTTTGTTTTGTTTGTGTTATATTACATGTAAGTCATGTAATAAAAGATAAGATAAGAGCTGGCATGTGCGAGTTTACACATCTAACCTACGCCCAAGTAACTATGTCTGGAAATTTTACGAACAAGTCTCAAAGAGATACAGCAATGTTAGATATTGACAATTATTATTTAAGCTTCTTCGGTAATTCATTTAGCTATTTGTCTTTGTCATTTGATGCAAGCCTTATTCGTCATGAATAATTAGCCAAGAAAATGATTACTATTGGAGCAGTACCGTATTAGGACATTCGGCGCTCATCCGGTAAGGGGGGGCATTGTGATGCAATGTCTAATGGCTGCCCTCACCCCCCCCACCCCCTGAACTGGCTTCACTCCCCCTGGCTCACGGGGTCCCGTACTTCGAGAAACCTGTGCGCCAGGGGGAGTGTAGGCAGTCTAGGGGGGTGGGGTGAGGGCAGCCACTTGATGCCCCCCTTACTGGATGAGCGCCGCCATACTTCAATCGTTGCTTTTTATAACGCATTAAAGCACAAAATGCATCAATGTGGGCCTGGTACGAGAATACTTGTCCAGGCGCGCAAATTTCCGCAGGAGGGGGGGGCAGCCTCTAATCTTGGGCGTCACAACGAAGGCAGCCACTTTTCTCGGATTGAGCCTTAACAGAGAAGAGCGACTCGGAGGTGCGTAGACAATTCTCATTCTTTCTGGAATTCGTCCTCTCCGTGCGTGAGGCTTAGTTCTAGTGGCCTTCCTACAGACTGTCTCCCCTTCCCTGGAGGCACACTGCAACCCTTACCGCCACTTCCGTGGCAGCGCAAAACTAGAGCAGAAAACCTCACAGAATTAATTGAAATCAACATTATCCAGGACGAATAACTAATCAAAAGGGGTAAACAAACTCTAGAATCCCAATGTGAATGGGTCAAGTAATTCACGATGGAGCGCAATGTTCGTCCCATGAACTATGAACCCTTTGCTAGAATGCCCACTGTGACGACTTTCTATTGATCTTTCCTTTTTTGTCTACGATTTCCCTATAATTGCTCTGAATTTCGTTGTGCTTCTCCCATTGAACGAGGTCGTATTCGGGGCTGGGACTACCTTACCCGTTGTGGAAGGTCGGGAATTTCGATTCGGCTGGTCAGATCCACGAAACATTCAATTCTTTCTTCTTTTTTACCAGATTAGTCCCCCGTCAACCGCCGGGACCTTCCTTTCCTGCGCAAGCTTTCTATCCTCCGCTATGGTCCCTTCCTCCTGTGACACCAACACCTCTGGAAGTGACGCGTATGCAACACAATGGTGTTTCAAACAGTAGAAGGGACACAATCATGATATGACGGTAGATTTTTCGCTTCCCTTCCTCATCCTCCCTTCCTCTCTCCACTGCCCTCCAGCTGCCACTGCAGCACCATGTGGAATGAACGGAAGTGTGCTAAGCAGGTGTTTATATAGCCCTAAGAGTGTTATCACAACTATCCTGCTACAAAACATTGATATCTCAAATCCTGTAAGCTACCCGATTTGTTAGCGGTTTGTTTATCCCATGAGCTTCCTTCTCACTCACTTCATTTTGCGGACGGACACACATACATACACACACACACACACTCACACACACACATACAGATACACAAACCGACACACAAAGTTAGCGCTTTTAATAATAATAATAGTTATGAATAGTGATTAGGGAGTGATTTCAGGTGAATTAGACATCTTGAACAATGACTGGCTCTTTGGAAATCGACATATGAGAAAAACTCGCCTTTGATTAGTTCCACGATTCTAAGCGGAGGTTGA